CAGCTTAATTGCAACGTAACTATTAAATTCCTCACTTTAGTGTGTGGGTCTCTGCAAAGTGCTTTTAATGTGGTTTGACCTATTATGTAGGGTTAGACCAAACCCATGTTATAAAAAGTCTGTATAATCTTGAAAGTAAACAGCTTTTTCCCCTCAAATTTGTGTTTTCCTTTACGTCTTCTAAGTTTTCAATACATTTTATTTTATTTTTATTTATTTATTTTGTGGTAACAGGTTTTTGGTTCTATTCTAGTGGCTATCCACAGTCTTACATGGACATTTGACATAATATACATTGCAAAGGCTAAAGAATGTTAAATGTTGAGGTGAGATGGCTGACTTACCAATTGGATAAACATTATCAGGGACCTTATTTATCAAGGCATCTGTCATGCCCTAGAATACCCCTCCTTCTCCACAGCATCTCTACTTGTTGCTGTCAGTTGATAAGCAAAGCTTGTGTAAAATAACAAATCTTTGATTTGTGGCTTCTGCCAGGGAGCATTATTTTTCTCTGATTCTGCAGAAGTCTGACTGGTTCAGGAGCAAACAGGTTTGAGTCCCAGCACCCGTGGAACATCTTACTAGCTTGGAGCAAACATGCCTCCCCCACCTTCTCGTATATGGAAGGCCCACATTGCTGATGCCAAGCTGACTCATCTAGGCCATGCTGGGAGAGCGTAGCTACGCCAACACAATGCGGAAAGCACCCAGAGGCTCAGATCCAGCATATTTGCAGCCTGTTACATTCAAAGGGGTGCACGGGCCTTTCTGCTTACACCAGCCTCTCTAAACCCTGGACCGTGATGGCTGCAGCCAGTATGGTGATCTTTCTACCTGGCTTTGATGTGTCCTTGCCCAGTTGGGGATTGAGAATGGGTCTGTACTGCCGAAATCGAGACGTTCAAACTCCCAGTTCAGTTCTGATACTCTGAGTGAGTTTGTCACCATGAGAGAAGGTTTTCTGGGGTAGCTTGTATGTCTGTTTGCTTCATTACCAGCATCAGAATTATTAATTGAAGATCTCCACCAGCACAGCTAAACCAAACGCCTGCCCTGCAGCTCTTTTAGAATCGTGTCACTAGTTTGGCAAGTTCTTCAGATTTTTCGGCAGTTCTTTGCATGTGACAGGGATGTGCAAAGCTATGTGTGGAATATATACCGATTAATTACCTAAATACACTACACTCACATTTTTGGTTAAAGCCAGGGCTGCCGGGGGGGGCCCAAGTGGGGCAATTTGTCCCGGGCCCCACAGGGGCCCCCCGGAGAATATAGTATTCTATAATATTGCAATTTTTTTTTATGAAAGGGGCCCCCAAAATTGCTTTGCCCCAGGCCCCCTGAATCCTCTGGGCAGCCCTGGTTAAAGCACTTTGGTAAACAAATCTAAAATTGCTTATGAGTTTAAAACCTTATCATTGATGTTCTGTAAGCGGAGTATCCTATAAAATGCTTGAATTGCAGCAGTTTTATTTGCGTGGAGCACATTTTAATGCATTCAGGGCCAAAACCAGAGCCCAGCTCCTAGCCAGACCACGAGTGGGAGCATGAAGAGGAGGAGTCAGCGGTTGAAGTAGCCTACATGGGATGGTGACGTGCCCTTCACTGGGGGGGAATGGGAGGATCAGTGAACCAGATCCTCTAGACCATCCACATGCTGCCATATGAGGGGCTCCCTGAGCAAGTATACATCCCCATCCCTGCATGACTTCCCCCACACTCTCATCCCCTGTCTACGGTCCTCTGTGATGGCCAGGATGGATTCCCCACCGGCTTCTGTAGAACCTCAGAAGTTGTTTTTGGCCCCTTCTGTGGGAGCTTCCTGTGGAGACACTCACAGGAGCTGAGCCCTAATGCTATTGGTGGCCAGTCCACACCCAGCACTTGAATCCTCTTCATACAGCACACATCTCTAAAGAAGTCTTAGGAGCTTTCCAACGAAACCCGTTTCATGGTTCCTCTTGGGTTCGAAGTGACAGCGTCACACTGGGGATGCACAGGCAGAGATTGGAGCTGCCTCCCCCCCTTCCTCGTGTGACTGTGGAGGCTACATCGTATTCTCCCACTAGTATTAAGGTCCAAGCTGGTCAGGCAATACCAATTGCATGTCTTGTGCCATAGGTGGGGGAGAGTTCAGGGGGATGCATCTGTTTTTAGCAGCACGGGGGGACGACTGAATGATTTTAAATACCTCTACCCTTCCTGAAATCACCTATTCAAATCCCAACAGGGTCAGCCCTTCATCCTTCCGAGGAGGAACAACTGAGTACCGCACACAGACTTTAAAAGCAGTGCCCCTCTGCATGAAGGTACCATGGAACTTGCAAGAGAAAGGGTTGCCCCCAAAATTCCTTCTCCCGCACAGTTGTGCAGCAGGCTTTGCGTGTTGTCCTCCGCTCCCGAGGCAGCTTCCTTTCAGTGGGGCTGTGTGCATGTGGATCGCGAAGCACTTTGGGATGAAAGGCAGGCGCTGTAGTGAAATAAAACGCTACTGTTAGTGAAGCGTGTTCAGCGCCCGCCTGCCCTTTGATTCTGGCTCGTGGCTCTTGTAAATCTGTCTGCGCCGGGGTGGCACCTGGAAATGCGAAATGGATGGTGGTGGGGGTGAGCCGAGGGGATGGAGGAGGCCACCAGGTGCTGAATAATTAGGACCCGGACTGGCTCAGTCCCAGCGCTCTCTAGTCTCATTACCATATGAAGTGCAAGCAAATGGCTTTTATATTTGCTCCCAAGGAATGTTTGCCGTATTTTTAAATAAAAATGGTCACAATGAGCCCGAAGTCCAGGCACAGAGCCCCACACAATGTCCCCCGGGGGCGATATTTGATTATACTGCATGATTTTGACACTGCCCTGGCAGATGAATGGCTCGTCCCTCCCCCCGCCCCACCCCAGTGATGAGCGGCTTATTCTTCTTTGTGCTTCTCCTTGGCCCTGCCTCCGTTGCTGCATGTCACTGATATGTCTAACAGCAGCAGGCACTGCAGGGCTCCTGACAGTGGTTTTTACCATATATGGTCATTACAGCTCTTTGGGCTGTCAGACATCCCGAATAATTCCCACCCTTTGCTTTGATTGGCCACTTTGGGCTAGGACTGGAGGATGGTGGGATGGGGCCGTACTGTACAGAGCAAAGCCCTCTCTGAGACAAGTGTACGGGCTAGTTAACTCTTAGATTCCTGGATCTGATCACGTGCCGAAGGGGTGACCGACAGCCCTGTTTTGTTTTTTGTGAGGTTTCTGCTGTTCGTAGACGAGTCTTCACATGTGACGAGCTCTTGGCAGTGCCTCTTGAAATGTAATCTGGACAGGGATTGGAAAGAAGGAGTGGAAATCAATACTGTTAAAACGTCCCTGCTGGATCCTTGGCTCTCCCTACCCTTTTGAGGAAGGGAGGGATGTGGCTGATGCCTGGAATTGCAGCAAGCTCTGCTTGGAATTATAGTGTGCACTGCATCACTTAGCAGTCTAATTACACTGAGCTGTTTTCAAACCCCACGTTTGTTCCTCAGATGCCTTTTTGGGGTGAATGGTGGTGCTGGCTCGAGTGGGAGCTGGGCTGGTGGTGTAACCCCTCTGTGGCGTCTGCCCCGCCTGGGTTGCTTTGCCAGCACAGTTCGGAGTGACAGTCTAACCGATGCAAAGAGATTTTAAACCACGCTTTCCATTTTTATTTCGAACAGCTGGCTGGATGTGAAGTGGCTAGTGCTGTAGTCTCTGAGCCACGCAGCCCTGTGCTTGCAGCCAGTTTTGGGGGGAAGGGGGAGATTGTCATGAGGCCCCCTTTGGCAGCTACTGGGTGAGTGGGTGGAGGTCTACAGCTTGTCTTCATTCATGCGGTCTTCCCAGCAAAACAAATCCCGATGCTGGTTTAGGAGTAGGACTTGTGCAGCTGATTCTTTCCTTTCTGGCTTGCCGTTGAAATGCTTTGTCTGAGTTTCTTGGAATTTTTTGTGCATTCATATGTAGAGAATTCACCCTTTTCAGTGCTAGAGAGAGCCTGTTTTAGACCAGGGTTTGGTCTTTCAAAAGAGAAGCATCAAATGGAATTAACCACATACAGCTACATGCTTATAATACTAAGACTCAGATTTTATACTGGCCATAGCCAGGAAATTATGGAACCAAACACCTTCGCTTCCCACTGCGTTGCATAGATGCTGTGTTGCCGACGCACAGCAGTGAGATGTGGTGCTGTAGGTTTTACCCACCAGGCAGACTGCTGAACAAAGCACCGCATGTTGTAGCTACCATGTCTTTAA